ACTTTTAGCATTTGTTTATCTTTGAAAGAAAGTGTGGTCAATGCAAATTTAAGACTTTGATAATGAAGCTGTTTTGCTGATAAACTGGAAAAGTATTAGATGTAGAATCATTGCATTTGTTGGGTGTCTATGATCTTCAATTAGAAATAATAGAAAAAAACTATATTAAGGTGGTTATAAGTAATTTAGTAAAATACATGATAACATTTAATATTATTAAAAATGCTTGCATCAAGAAATGCAGATAGTTCATGAAATACAGGTATACATACATTAAATATTCATTTTATGTACCTGGATCAATAGAGAGGGGGCGCAAATTGATTTTGTGCTATCTGTCTGTTTGTCTGCAAACTTTAACCTTTGATCCCCATAACTTTTGAACTATGCGAGATAGAGACCTCAGACTTAGTATGCATACTCCAGTAATTGAGCTGCTTGAACCATAGAAGATAGAAACTTCATATTTAGAATGCATACTCCACTAGTTATGCTCTTTAAAATGACACCACGGTCGAAGGTCAATGACTTTGTGACCTTGACTGTGACATTTACTAAAAATAGCTTTTTTGATCCTTCGCCATAACTTTTAAACCATTGGAGATAGAGACTTCATATATGTTATGCAAACTCCACTAATATAAGCTCTTTCAAATGACACTAAAATCAATGATTTTGTGACCTTGAACGTGACCTATATGCTAAAAACAGCTTTTTTGAACCTTCACCATAACTTTTGAACCATAAGAGATAGAAACTTCATATTTAGAATGCATACTCCACTAATTTAGTTCTTTCAAATGCACTAAGGTCAATGACATTAATCTTAACTGTGACCTATACGATAAAAATAGCTTTTCCGAACTTTGTTGCTGCGAGATACAAAGTGTTTCACAATCACATCTTGTTTTTCTCTAATAACAACATATATGTAGAATGACATCATACAACAAACATGTTGAGACAACTAATTTATCATAAAAGTAGAGTAATTTTATTCATGTCGTGACAGAAGGGATCAAATTCATAGTTTCAATGAATTAAAAAATGTAAATGGTATTTTTTAATTTTTGATTGAAGCAAAATTGCTTTTATCAGTTAAAGACTAAGGGTAGTATTTAATGTATTTTAAGAAGTCTGCCTTAATTGATCTGTTGAAGCATATCTGATAATGCAGGTTTAATTCATATCTTAGGTAATGTTGAAAGGAATTTGAGGAAAGGACCACTAAATTTCAGCTGAAATAATTCATTAAATTATCCTAGATGTTGATGTTGAGCATTTTGTTATACCCCATGCTTGAAAACTGGGAGGGTATATACTATATGGTAGTCGGGATGTACAATTGTCTGTCCGTATGTTTGTCGTCCGTTACACTTTGGGGTACCCATCTCTTATCCACAACTCCTCTCATACAATATGTACCACTGAATGACATTTGATAGACTTTTACAGAACTTTTATTACATATGGCCATTATGCACCTTCTATTTTTAGCTCTTCTGAGCCAAAGGCTCAAAGAGCTAATGCTATGGCCATTTGTGCGGTGTGCGTAAACTTTTTAGAATTATGGGCCATTACTCAAGAACCCTTTGGCCAATCCGTACCAAATTTGTCACAGGGTATCCTTGGCCCAAGGGCTACCATTTATACTAAAATAAGGGTTGGGACCCTTAAACAAGGGGAGATAATCAGGAAAACAAAAGCAAAAATACTTAGTTGCTAAAAAATCTTCTTCTCCATAACCACCAGGCAGATTTTCACCAAACTTACATACAAGGATCAGGATGTGTCGAAGATTAAAATTTGCACGGGGAATTACCTTGAGACAAAGGGCGTGGTCTCAAGGTCACTTCAAAGTTGACCTAAATTTACAATTAATAAAAACGTGTATATTTTGCTTACTATAAGAACTAGGATCATCAATTCTTGTAAGTTGATGCATCTTATGACTTCACATCATGTTAACTCAAAAGTAGGTCACGGTGACCTACTTTTTAAATTTTGCGGGGATTTGTTTTCAAATTGATTTGAAGGCATATTTTGGACACTTTAAGGCCTATGATCATCAAACTTTGTCAGTTGATGCATCTTGGATCCTCGAACAATGTCAACTTAAAAGTAGGACACCGTGACCTACTTTTTGAACTTTATGACTTACCCTTTTAAAAACATTAAATCCCATTATTTCAGACACTGGGAGGTTTAGAATCATCAAATCTTGTACTTTAATGCATCTTGGGACCTTAAAACATATTTATGAAAAAGTAGGTCACTGTGACCTAGTTTTTGAATTTTGCCGACATTTGTTTTCAAATTGCTTAAAACGCATATTTTGATTACCTTCAGACCTACGATCATCAAACTTGGTCAGTAGATGCATCTTGGGTCTTTGAAAAATGTTGACCAAAATGTAGGTCACGATGACCTACTTTCGACATTTTATGGCTATATTTAAATATCTTAGGTATTTATTGGCTTAGAATCATCAAACTTTGTCAGTCCATGCATATTTGGTTTTTGGAGAGTGACGACCTAAAAGTAGGTCATGGTGACCTACTTTTGACATTTTATGGCTTTATTTAGGTATCTCCGGTACTTATTGGCTTAGAATCATCAAACTTTGTGAGTTGATGCATCTTGGGTTTTTGGAGAGTGATGACCAAAAAGTAGGTCATGGTGACCTACTTTTGACATTTTGTGACTATAATTAAGTATTTCTGGTACTTATTGACCTAAAATCATCAAACTTTGTCAGTTGATGCATCTTGGGTTTTCAGAGAACGTCCACCAAAAAGTAAGTCACAGTGATCTACTTTTGACATTTTATGGCTATATTTAAGTATCTCAGGCACTTATTGGCCAAGAAGGGCGGGGCCACAATGGCCGACCAAAGGTGCTCAGGTGAGCGATGTGGCCCATGGGCCTCTTGTTTTGTGTGCAATTAATACAGAGTTTTATCAATGGGTGGCACTGTAGCTCTCCCTACTATCAATATATATTTTTTCGGAGAGGTACAGTTCTGCAGCTAAAAGATACCAAATGGGGATAACTAAATTCTCTGAATTTGCTTGTTTGTCCCCAGTTACTATTGATTGATGAAAGCTGGTGTGGATCGAGTTTTATTGTGTGTTTCAATTGCACTGATAATACTTATGCAGAGGAGGTTAAACAACATACAATCAATCAATACCTATGCATTGAAGGAGAAAGGGAATATTATAATTATTTTGACCTTCTATGTCCATCTGTCTGTGTGTTTTTCTGTCCATGACAAATAAGTGATCTCAGTTTTCTGCAAGTATGTATGGCAGATCTTTGTTAAGGCATGCATTATGGTTTGATTTATTTTTTATTACTTTGCTGGTCAGAAACCATAAGAGCTTAAGCGATATGAGTTGTCCGTCATCCACCTGTCTGTCTGTAAACAATTTTTCAAAATGCTGTTCTTCCTATAGTTTTGGTTTGATTTTAATATAATTTGGCACAAAAGTAGACTACTGTAGGATACATAAATTTGTGCATTAGTTTTTAATGTCCATGGACGGTGTTGCTATGGTTACTAAAAAAAAATTTCCTTTAAAATGCTACTCCATCTACATTTTTTTTAATTTCAATATAAATTTTGGCACACAAGTACTAGGATACATAATTTAGTGCATTGATTTTTGGTGAATGGTGTTGCCATGGTTACTAAAAATTGAAATTTCTTTAAAACACTACTCCTTTAGGTTTGGTCTAATGTCAATTTAATTTTGCATACAAGTAGACAATTTTGGAGCATCAATTTTTTTTATTTCAATGAACAGTGTTGCCATGATTACTGAAAATTAAAAAATCCTTGAAATTCCTTTTAAGTGCTACTCCTGGAATAGTTTTAGTCTGATTTCATTATAAGTTGGCACACAAGTAGACTACATTAGGATACATAATTTGTTGCAATGATTTTTGATTTTTTTAAATAAATGATCAGGGATTTTCCAATCACTTTTGGGAATGGGGCCCAGGCCCTTAGAATTGGGTATTTAATGACATTTTATCACTAATTGGAAAATCTTATTGTATGATGTTTTTCAAGAAATAAACACTAAGATGAATAAAATTGATGTCTTTAATAGTTATTATAGAACTAAGAATCAGAGAATTGATCATTATAACAAAGTTTTACCCATATTTTAAACCTGACCATGTTTGTATTTCATGAAATATGATCAAGTTAACCTCTGAAGTTCTTCAGCATTCAAAAATCAACATATGCAGTTCATTTTTGGGAAAAAGGGAGGGGTTTTGCAATTGGGAATGGGGCCCATATTCGGCCCTACATGGGGTAGTGGAAAATCCCTGTGAATGGTTTTGCCATGGTTACTTAAATAGAAATTTGAGATTCCTTTAAAATGCTACTTCTATGGTTTTGGTCTGATTTCAATATAACTTTGCATACAAGTAAAATACACTAAGATGCATTATTTCATTTATTGCTGCCTGTTGCAAAGTTTCAAATCAAGAACTATTTTTTCCTTTGTTATATATACAGAGCAGTAGAGCTACAGTCTCATCAGATACTTCTGGTTGTACGGATTTTCATTGCAGTTTTTAAAGCAACTTATCATCGTTGATGTCTGAAATTCAGGCATGTCATATTGAGGAAGACTTCTTTGTTTAAATCTTGTACCAACTTCCTGTTTATCCATGCATTTGAGTAGCTTACATAACAGAATTTTGTCAAGTTTTTTGAGCAACAACTCATTGCAGATGCTTAAATTTTAGCACACTCTTTGTTGAGGCATGTCATGTGGTGGGATTAATTTTTATATAAATCAGAGGTCGTTTTCTTGTTTATGTGTGTGTCTGTCTGTAACAGAACTTGTGTATATTATTTACATCGTAGTGTATAATCATATAATATCTATTACTAATGAACAATGGCCTAAAAACTTTTTGTTATACATGAATTATTTTGTGCATGCTTCTGTGAAAAAAGCTTTGTTTTATTTTTTTAGATGCCAAAGAGAAAGAGTTTAAATGGCAGGGAGAAGCGCCAGAGAGATAAATTGCGCAAAAGGGAGAAACGGGAAAAACAGACCCTGCCCTCACCAGAAGAAAAGCCACCAGATTCTGCTATCCCTTGTGGATCAGCAGATGGAGTTATTATGGCTCCACCCGGTAATTTTCCGGGGCAAGGCTCAATAGGGTTGCCGCCTTTTGAGGAAAAACCCTTGGCCAGGTTGCAGGCCTCTCTTCGCGAGAAAATGCAACCAACTGCCCTGAGTAACGCATCTTCTCAGGGAAGTCGTCTGTGTGCCCGAAACGGAGGCATGGCACCGTCCCCTGACTCCCCACCGTGGGTTTGTACCTCGCCGAGGGTACCTGAGCCGGACACCGTGCACGTGTCTGGCTCAGCAGGTCAGGCGCAGCTGGATATGTCATCCTCCAAGGGGGATGAGTCCAGCAGGAGATTGATTGATGCAAACCAGAGTAAAAGAACGAGATCTAAAAAGTATACTAAAAGGAATTTACATGATGAAAATGAGAATATAGACAGTGAATATGAGAAAAATAAATCAGAATGCAGAAATGAAAGACAATGTGGTGATGAATTGGATGATGATGATTATGCCTGTAGTACTTTTGATGGACCAGTATCAATGTCTCAGGTATGTGTTCAAGGTTCTTTTCATCAGGGTGACTTGATGTTTGGTGAAAATGCAGGAACACAGTGTGTTGCAAACTCCTTGGCAGCTTTAGCTTACCATAAACTAAAGAACTCTACACAATGGCAAACTTCAGATATGAATAAAGTATTAGCAATGGGTGATGAGCTTTATACATACTTGCAGCGTAGTTCAACCATTGTAAGTAGGTACCTTTTAGTTGACGAGCTACCTCAGTTTTTTGAATGTTTTAATGCTATGTTTGAATTCAAAGCACATGGATCCTTATCTAGCCTGATAAATTTGTCTGATACAGAGCCAAACTATGATGATTTTAATGCATATTCACTTTCAGATGCATTGCAAATTTCTCTGGAAAAAACAAGTGGATGTTTTGTGTGTTTCATGGGAAATACGTTTTTGGTTGGAAAAACAATAGATGGTTTATTTACATTCGATTCACACTCGAGGTCACCTTTAGGATATATGAGTGTAAATGGAAGGAGTACAAGAATACTGTATAACTCTGTTCATGATATTTACAATCACATTTTGTCATTAGCAACATCAATGGGATTTTCTGGAATTACTGAATGTGAAATCACTGGTGTTGATTGTTCAGTGAGACAGGTTGAATCTACTGATGAAGATGTTAAAATTGGGCAAAAAGAAATTACACAGCATATTGAAGACTCTGAAGGGGCTTTTCAAGAAAGCACAAACATTTTGCGTATGAGCATGCCATCAGTTGCAGATGATGATTGTGAAATTATTTGCTGTGATAGGAGTGAAGTTAGGTTTTTGCCACTTTCATTTAATAAAAAGGTACACCTTTGTAAGATTATTGGAATACCACATTCAAATAGAATCGATAACAATGAACGGAATTGCCATGAGCAAGAAATGGGTGCACCTGACAAATGTGTTGAAATTCAAAGGGATGGAAACTGTTTTTTCAGGGCTGTTTCATTTTGTTTGACTGGAGTGGAAGATTATCATTACGCTATACGATTAGCAGTATGCCTACATCTTCTGCACAACAGTATATTGTTTGAATCCTTTGTAAGATGTGCAGAAAGTTCTGTAGAAAATCACTTAGCATTAACAGACATGTCAAAAGATGGTACATGGGCAACTGAACTGGAAATTCTTGCACTCTGTCATCTCCTGAGTACTGATGTCCATACATATACAGAGAATCGTTGGGTTAGATATTCAAGACAAATGATACAAAGTACAACAAATGATCAATCCAGTGGAGCAATTTATCTAGATCATAAGAATCAGAATCATTATGATGTAGTGGTGACTGTGGCTGAAAAAAACTCAGATGGTTTCACGAAAACACATTCCCTATTGTACAGAAAAAAGTGTGGAAATAGAAATCGTATGAGACAGGTTCGAAGCATTTCATCCAAAGAAAAATCCAGAAAAAATCTTGAAATGAAAGCAAGGAAATTGAATTCTATGGAAAAGAAATTAAAAGCAGCAAAACTTAAGTACAAAACTGACCTTAACTTTAGATTAAAGGCAATAGCAAATGGGAAAAAGAGATACAAAGAAGATGAAATGTACCAAGCAAAGACAAAGCAGAGGAGTGTAGAAAAATACAATTTGAGTGCAGAACACAAGTTCAAAGTTAAGGAAGCCAGTAAAAGGAAATACATAACGGATGAAATTCATAAACAATATAAAAAGAAAAGAGGTATTGAGAAATATAGATCAGATATACTGTATAGAAGAAACACTAAGCAAAGAAGTCGAGAAAAGTACAAGAATGATGAAGTACACAGATTAGATGTGAAACAAAGAAGTAAAGAAAAGTATAAGCAAGACAAAGAGCATCAACATAAGGTTAAGAATGCTAATAAACTAAAGTATAATGCAAGTGCAGATGAGAAAAAGAAAAAGAAGGAGAGTGTCTTTAACCAGAGACGGGCCCTACATGTAAAACTTGAAGATGAAGATGAAGTTGTGAGATTGTTTAAGGAGAGTGTAAGAAATGGCCCAGAATACACATGTTGCTGTTGTAATCGATTGCTGTTTGATCATCAAGTCCAAGGATGTTCACTTGAAATGTACAAAGGAAGACAAAAAACAAATGAAATTGCACAGACCTGCATACAGAAAAAATATCATGAGTGTACATCGTCTTGTCCAAGGAAGTGCCCAAACTCGTCTTTGTGGATATGTTTTACCTGTCATAGGAAAATATTGAGTGGTAATATTCCAGCAGAGGCGGCTGCTAATAAAATGTCACTAGAGGATATTCCATGTGAACTTCAGAATTTAAACAGTTTGGAGCAGCATTTAATTGCTTTACATATTCCCTTTATGAAAGTGATGGCGCTTCCACAAGGTGGTCAAAGAAATGTACATGGTCCTGTAGTATGTGTGCCATCAAATATTAAAAAGACATCAAGTTTGCCAAGAAATCGGGATGACAATTTATTGTTAAGAGTTAAGTTAAAACGAAAGCTAGCTTACAAGGGCTATTTTGAATACCAGTTTGTAAATCCAAATCACATAAAGATAGCTCTTGATTATCTTAAGAAGGAGAACAAATGGTATAAGGATGTAGTGATCAATACTACATGGGAAGGAAATAGTGACGAAAATGATTTGTTGCCGAATGAGTTGACTGAAATAGCAGATTCTCATGAGGAACTGAAAGAAGAAGAAAGCGATTACATTCAAGAGGTTGTTACTGACACCTGCTTACAGCCTGTCGATGTTGCACAGGAAGTTCTTGATCATTACTTTGACGATATTTACAATATTGCACCAGGTGAAGGGAAAAATCCAATCCGAATGTTACAAGAAGAAGGAAACGAAGCAAAGACATTTCCACATTTATTTCCAAATGGTAATTTTTCTTGGAATGAGGATCGAGATGTGAAGATAAGTCTATCAAGATACTTTAACAACAGGCTTATGAATGCTGATAACAGATTTGCTAAAGACACAAATTACATTTTCTTTTCTCAGTACATGTCAGAATTGAACCAAGTTATTGAGAAAACACAAATTTCAATCCGAAAGTCTTTATCAAAGCTTGATAATGGAAAAGCAGTTACATCTGAAATGTTACAGAATCCAGATGTTCTGTCTGATCTTCTTAAGAATAATGAGGCTTTACGTTTTATGCAACCTATTCGAGGAACTCCTGCGTATTGGTCAGCTACTCAGAAAGATCTTTTTGCTATGCTTCGACAGTTAGGTATCCCAACATGGTTTTGTTCTTTTTCTGCTGCTGAGTTCAGGTGGAACGAAGTAATTGGATCAATATTGCATCATGAAAATGATTGTAGATCCCCATCGGATTTAGACTGGTCAGAAAAAAGTGAAATTTTGAGAAGCAATCCAGTTTCTGTTGCCAGAATGTTTGAACATAGGTTCCATATGTTTCAAACGAATGTTATATTCTCACCAGCAAAACCAATAGGAAATGTTATTGATTTTTTTGTGAGAGTAGAATTTCAACAAAGAGGTTCTCCACATATGCACTGCTTGTATTGGGTCGAAAATGCACCGAAATTTGATGAAGACAATGAGGAAACTGTTTGTGATTTTATTGACAGGTATATAACATGCGTAGTGCCATCTGAAAATGAAGATCCAGAACTTCGAAGAATTGTTTTAGGAGTTCAACAACATAGCAAAAATCACTCAAAATCGTGTAGGAAAAAGGGAACAGATTGTAGATTCCACTTTCCAAGACCACCCTCAGAAAGAACATTTGTTACTAAGCAATGTGAAGAAGATGTTGAGGACTCTGAGAATAAAAGTGGAATGTGTAAATCTCAGGCAAAAGATATTTTATTGCATGTTTGGAATGAAGTTCTTGATGATGTGAATGGATGCAAAACAACACAGGAAATATTTTCTGACATGAAATTAACACAAGATGTTTATGAACTTGCACATCGGGTGCTATCTGCGAATACAAGTACTATCTTGAAACGAAATCCAGTAGAAATGTGGACAAACCAATACAACGCATGCCTTCTCAAATGCTGGGATGCCAATATGGACATACAGTACATTCTTGACCCATTTAGCTGCATTGTGTACATTATTTCATACATTTCAAAGTCAGAACGCGAAATGGGAATGCTACTGAAACAAACACAAGTAGAATCAGCAGAGGGAAATTTAAGTGCTCGTCAAACGATAAGGAATATTGGATCAGCTTATCTAAATCATAGAGAAGTGAGTGCCCAAGAAGCAGTGTACAGAGTTTGTAATCTAAAAATGAAAGAGTGTTCAAGGAAAGTTGTGTTTGTCCCTGTTGGTGAAAATCCAACTCGATTAAGTAAACCCCTTTCACAAATGAAAAGAACAAATAAGGACGAAAATAATATGGAAGATGATGACGACAGTATTTGGATGACAAATATTGTGGAGAGATATGAAAATCGCCCTGATCTACATCCCTTTCCTGAAATGTGCCTTGCAGAATTTTGCTCTGAGTATCGTGTTCTTGCGAAATCGCAGATTCCCAAGGTAGAAAAAGAAGGTGTTTTTGAATTGAAAAATGCAAATGGTTACATTCAGAAAAGAACAAGAGCCAAACCAGCCGTAATCAGATATCCGAGGTTTAATCCTGAGAATGCATCAGAGAAGTATTTTCAATCGGCAATACAGCTTTACCTTCCATATAGCACACTAAACCAACTGAAACCACCAGGATTTGAGTTTTTTCAGACATTTTATGAAAACGGGTTTGTCAGACTTCGATCTGAGAACGAATTAGAATCTGTCAGAAATGTGGTTGAAAAAAATCGTTGTTGTTTCTCAAAGAATGAGGATGCCTTACAAAATGCCCAAGAAACTTTAGAAGTTTATGGTGAACCTGAAGATGCATGGGCTAACCTTTGCCCTGAAACTGAAAGAAATCGGGAAGATTGTATTATAGAAAAAAAGAGAAGAGAACAATTAGATAATAAAGAACCAGAAATCACACATGAAGTGGAATGTGACGGCGCTTTGGACTTGATATATCATATCAGGGAAAGCTTTAACTCGAGGCAAGAAGTCCTTCCTTTGTTGCGAAGTTTAAATGAAAAACAAAAGCAGATTTTTTACTTAGTTCGTGAGTGGTGTTTGAAAAAAGCGGCTGGTAGGAAAATAGAGCCATTACATATTTTTGTTACCGGAGGTGCAGGGACAGGAAAAAGCCACCTGATCAAGACTATACAGTATGAGGCTTCTAGAGTATTTGAAAAAACCGTTTCGACTCCATCAGATTTGTCTGTTCTCCTCACAGCTTTTACTGGAACAGCAGCTTTCAATATTGGAGGAAGCACAATTCACCACGTATTTTCATTAACTAAAGCTCTTCCCATTCCATACGAACCTCTGAAAGAACAAAGTTTAAGTGCAATGAGAGTTAGGTTAGCTTCTTTGCAGATTTTGATCATTGATGAAGTGTCAATGGTTTATAAACGACTCCTCTACTACATACATGAACGTCTGGTGCAAATCAAGAAATGTAAGGAACCCTTCGGTGGTATTTCTGTCATAGCTGTTGGTGATTTTTACCAACTACCTCCTGTGAAACAACGAAAAGTGGAAATATTGTACAAAGAAAATGATGAATATCCCGTAGATTACTGGATAGAGTTTTTCAAAATCATAGAGTTGGAGGAAATTATGAGACAACGTGAAGACGCAGCATTTGCCACGGTTTTGAATTCACTACGGATTCGAAAGATAGAGGAACCCCTATCAGAAGATGCGAAAACAATGTTAAAAGAATGCATTAGAGATGGTCCAGATGAAGTACTGCACGTGTATCCTACAAATGACGAAGTAAATGAATACAATCTGAAGATGTTGCGAACAAACTGTGAAGAATTCATAGAGATTACAGCTGAAGATTATCAGAAAGACAAAACTACAGGAAAGCTGACTTTACGCGAGAAACCGTTCATAAGAACAAGAACTGATGGTCTCTCTTCTTCTTTGCTGTTTTCTGTGAATGCTAGAGTGATGTTGACAAGAAATATTAATGTGGAAGATGGACTTGTTAATGGAGCAATTGGTTATATTTCAGCTTTTGAATTGGGAACAAATCAGAAAAGAAATAGGGTAGAAGGAATCAGAATTGTTTTTGAAAGCAAAGAGATTGGGAAACTGCAAGGGAAGAAGACATGTCATGGAAATGAAGTACTGATTCAAAGAATACAAGAAGATATCAAAGAAAAAAATACAAAGAATGTTGTTCGACACCAGTTTCCTCTGAAACTTGCGTGGGCATGTACAGCGCATAAAGTTCAAGGCATGACAGCAAACAGTGTTGTTGTAAATTTAGATCGTACTTTCGCCCCTGGACAAGCATATGTTGCCATTAGCCGTGTCACTTCACAAAAAGGTTTATACATAGAAACAAAAGATGAAAATGAATTGCCTAAAAAAATTTACGCAAATCCGGATGTAAAATCGGCACTGGAAAAAATGGCAAAATTAATCCCTGAACATGATTCTCTGAACTTGCACCCAAAAGATGGAAAATTCAAAACAATTGTTTTACTCAATGTACAGAGTCTAAGAGGACATTTTCTAGACCTGAAAAGTGATACGAGATTTCTCCATGCAGACTTTATATGTATAACAGAAACATGGTTGACAGACAATGAGAGTACCAAAAACTTAGAAATTCATGACTTTGAATAAAAGAAAGCAGTCTTATGATGAAAGTATGGACAGTTTTGCCAAGCTTCGAACAGCAAGAGGAGGAGGTGTTGGTATTTACAAGAAGACAAAGGAAAAGGCCGTATTTTATATTTTACCTCAAAAAAATATTGAAGGAATGGCAATAGAACTTTCTGAGGAGAAAACTGTTGTCATCATTCTTTACCGACCAAGTACTCTCAATGTTAGATATTTTCTGGATGGTCTTCAGATGGTTGTGGATTATTTTAAAGTACTGTATTCCCACTGCCTTGTACTTGGAGATTTTAATGAAGATGCGCAATTGAAGGGGCCAATTCAAAGAATGTTAGAGACAAATGGATTTAAGCAGAAAGTCAGCTTCACAACAACAGAGGGTAATACTATACTAGATCACGTTTATATTACAGAGCAAATGGAAGTAAGTGTAGAGAAAATGCCAGTTTATTTCAGCTATCATGAAGCTGTTAAAGTGCATTTAAAAACAAAGTAGATGAAATCTGCTTATTCTATATCACACAAAAATAATGACTTTCAAACTTCAATTTCTTTCCAATCACTTTCAGTACCAATCCACTTGTCATATTTGCTCGTCTTTGTGATGACTTTTGTTCATACATGTATCCTTATTTGTTGTTTTTGGAATTTATTGGACAAAACATATTTATAAATCTGTAGATTCTTTATGATCAATTTAGAAAATTTTTAAGGTAGCGAATTTTCCAATTTTCTCTCTAAAATATATACTTAGTATGTCATCGTTATACCAATGATCATCGTCTATAGTCGTTCCATGGAAAACCATCCATGATTTTCAAATTTTCTGAAGGATGTTATAAATTGTATCAACTTTATAACAATTAGATATTCAGTGCACAAATGTTTAATTTAGACAAAACAATGCAATACTTAAAAAACATGAATGTATGAATACTTAAAAAATTGTTGTTAATGCAACAAGACTTTTTTCTGTAAATTACTAGAGAAGTGTATTTTTAAAATACCATGAGTATAAATTTCTTTAACAACAGAAAGCATACATATTTTTTTTCAAAAAGGAAACCCTAGGTAAACTTAAGAATCAGTGTTTGTTTGCCAAAAGAAGACACAAGTGATGCATTTAAAAAAAATTTCCAAATTCTCTTCCGGTAAGAGAAATGTTGAAGATGTTATGGAAATTAATGTTCAACACTTATTTGTCAATTCCTAGTAACGCTAAGTTTTTGCCATGTTCCTTGTATATATATACGAAAACTTTTTTTGAAAAAAAAACACATGCTCAACATTTCTGCGGGTAAAATAATGAAATTCATAAAAAAAATTACAAGATATCTCATTACAGTGACAATATGGCGCATCTCTTCAAAAAACAGACTTGTTAAAATTCTCCTATAGGATTTGGAATTTTTTTCATACTCATAAATGTATACACTTTCAAAAAATTACAATTAAAGTGTTATTTGTAAATAATTCTGATTATTTCATTAAAATTAATAATTATTTATTGTACATAAATATATACATTGCAACGTGTTTGAATTCCACATTCCATGCTATACATGAATGGGTATAGTTTTCATAAACAAAACAGCATGGTAAGAGAAGGAGGTCCGGTAGGCCTGCTACAATTTGACAAAGTCGACTAAAACGAAAAACAAGACCAAAAAAATAGGGCTTGAAATTAAAAAGCAACTTTCCTGAAAAAAATTTAGTTGGGAGATTAATAAATCATTGGACGAAGAAGAAACGGGATCTCAGGGACATTCACGTGGGGCTCGCGAAGGTTATACCCTACAGGTTTGTTGATACATGCTATTATTTCTCGTATCTCTATGGCTTTCAAAGACAAAAAAATCATTGCCATTTGGAGTGCAAATTGTATTGGAACTACAGAAAGATTTTGTTTGACATTTTGCCGCGATGACGTATGATTTGGTGGATTTTCCTTTCCTGCACCCCAATACACAAAACGTTCAACATAAGTACTTAATCATGTTAAATTTGTCTGAATGTATACTAAATGTTAACTATTTTTAATTTACCTTAGAGTTATGATATTTTGATTCTGATAAAGGCTTTTACTTAACATTCCATTGTAATTGTACGTGCCATTTTAGAATTCACGTGGTACAACTTGAGTAAACAGGTTTAAGTCGTACGACCCTTGATTTTCCGACAGATTCTAATAACGTTAATATATTTATATTTATTTTTCTCAAAATGCTTACTTCAACTTTTTACCTTATTCCTTAATGATATATTGGGTAAATTTGAATGCATGAAAAAGCACACGAATTGCAGCCGTATTGTCGCTTTAACAATCATGAATTTAACAGAAACTTTACTTTCATTTTTTTGCTATACGGCCGTAAAATGACAAGAATATGGTAGTGATTACCGGGTTGGCAGTTTAAAGTTGCTACCAAGTTAAAGTGAAATTGGTTAATAAAAAAAATCTATGATGAGAGAGAAGATGAGCAAAATACAAATTAAAAAGAAGGGAGATCGGGTCACAGGAATGAGCAAGGTGAATGTTTTGATAAAGTTGAATAGCTATCACTAATACATATCAGTATATTAAGTTTCATTGATAAAAATATCTGAATGAATTAATGAAACTAAGCTTAACACCTTTTTTAAGGAAAAAGAGAGGTCAAAGGAAAGGTTGAGGTCAAAATGTCGTTGCAGTTGAAAAGCTTACATCAATCAGTATGAATTTACTATTAGGATATGAAGTTTGATAAAAATATAATAAATTGTTTATTTAAAACTTCTAAAGATAGACACTTATTTTAACTGTGTTTCAAAATTCAAAACTGATCTAGACATTAATTTTAGAAAAGTGAGGTCAAGGTCAAAGGAAAGGTCAAGGTAAAAAAGAGTGAAGCATTGTAAAGCTTACATCAGTATGTATCATCATGTGAAGTTTCATTACACAACTAAAATGTTTTTTTCTAATTAAGCTAAATACTTATTTAAAGGAAAGTGAAGTGAAGGTCAAAAGAAAAGTCAAGGTCAAAAAATGTTGCTGCAGTTGGACAGTTTACCTCAGTATACTTCAACATATAAAGTTTGATTAGACAATCTTGAATAGAATCTTTTAAACTGAGCTAAACACTGATTAAATAAAAGCGAAGTTAAGGTCAAAGGAAAGGTCAAGGTAAAAAAAATGTTGATGTAGTTACAAAGTTCTCCTCAATATCTATCGCCATATGAAGTTTGATAAAAATATCTAGAATAGTTTCTTTGAGCCCAATGGAAAGACAGATGGAAAGGTGGAAGACAGATATCATAAAAACTATTATACATGTACAGTGGACCTTCAGATATCCGGACGCCAGATATCCGGATGCTTCAGTATCCGGACGATTTTTCATCTGAATGGAATTTTTAATTGTTATTTTGTCTCGTTTAACTGGTGATTCAGGTATCCGGACACTTCACATATCCGGACAAATTGACTGGGAACCAAAGCGTCCGGATAAATGAGGGTCCACTGTATATGTATTCTCCAGGATAATCATGGCGTTACATAAAAAACTTGAATCTACATTATATGAGGATGTTTCCATATATCAAGATTATACAAGCAAATTCAAAGAATTGAGGCCCTCTGCTTTATGTGTCTAAGTAAATGGGATGCCTTAATTTATGGCAAATTGTGTTTCAAATATGCACCCCTATCAAATGTCAATTTTTGAAAATCAGCCATTCAGGTAAAACTTCTAGGTCAAAGGGGAAAAAATCATAGCATGCTTGAAAACATCTTGTTACAGCTAATGTACATGTCAAATAGGAAAGTCCTATCTCTTTTCAATCAAGGTCACAGAGTCAAAAGTCATAATATATATATTTAGAAAAATCTTTTCACATGTAATATACATGTATAATTTGAATACACCATCTTTTCTCTTTCAAAATGATCAATTTAAATAATGTTTTTTTTCCTCGAAAGGTAAAACTTTAAGGTCAAGGTCATGGGTTCAAAAATCATAATATATTTAGAAAGTTTTGTGATAATGTATGTGTGAAATATGAAAGCCCTTAGTATGTCTTAATATTCAAAAGTTATGACCAATTAGGTTAAATTTATTGTGACAGATGCACATACTGTCAATAAGATGGACAGACTGACAGGCAAATGAGATTTAATGTCCCCTCCCTTTCCTAAAAATGGGGGACAATGATGCCCTTGCTGTTTTTGAGAAGAATATGAAGGAAAAAATCTCCTGCATATTTCTTAACACAAATCAATATTGTGTTTTTATGTCATTTGTTTTTTTTGTTAAACATCCCTCTCAGGAATTTTTCACTCATATGGAGACACCACCACTTGAAAATAATGAGGACAAGTGAGATTTGAGGTCAACATTCTTTTTAGGAGTTTTCAACCATTAAGACACAAAGAGATATTAACTCGATCCTAAATTCCCCTCGCCCCTTCCCAGACCCCGGCCTGATTGTTCATGTACTGTTAATAAAAAGTGTACAAATACTTTAATGTGGTCCATCTCTTTGAATGATTTTCATTCCTTAACTTCTAGGGTGATAGGTTGACACAAATTCATGAATAAAATGTCAAGCATTTATCTTATCATTGATGCACTTTTATTTACATGTAATTTATGCAGTCATATTGTGAACATTTTCAGTTCATTAGCAATAGGAGAGTGAGGATACCTGTAGGGATTCATAACCTTTATACCATTAAATGTATAACATCAATCTAATTAAAATTAGATCCTTTACGCTCCTTTATTTTGTTACAGCGACATAACAAAATAAAGGAACATAAAGGATCTAATTTTAATTAGATTGGTATAACATAAGCCATCAAACAAAATTATATATTGTATAGTCAAATGGAAAAGTTTCCTACTATTTAGACAATAGACAATATTTTATTTCCAATTAAGGGCCCCCAGAGAGGCATGAAAGGTACATGTGTAGACAAAGGCAATCAATAAGTAGATAAAAAAAAAATAAATAAAATGAAATAAAAA